GTTGGGGAGAGGAGGAAGTTGGGGAGGGAGGAAGTTGGGGAGAGGGGGAGGAAGTTGAGGGAAGAAGCTGGGGCAGGCTGGGAAAGTGGAAGATGGGGGTGACAAGCTGGGGAGGGGAGGAAGCTGGCGATGAAGCTGGGGAGGGAGGAAGTTGGGGAGGGGGAGGAAGTTGGGAGGAAGCTGGGGGAGGAGGCTGGGGTAGGGAAGGAGTTGGGAGGGGTGATGGGAGGCTGGGAAGAGGGTTTTAGGTTAGGTTAGGTCAAGAGATGTGTGTGTGTGTGTGTGTGTGCATAAACTAAGCTAAATCCACATCAACAAAACAGATTCCTTTACTCTGGCGACACCTGACACCTCCACCACCACCACGTATATATTGAAGCCAAATTCGCACACCAATTACCCTCATATTTACCCAGGTGTTGCGTCCGAGAGCTGCCCCGGCACCGACTGTACCGACAGGTGTGAATGTGACAGGTGTAAACAGGATATAGGTGTATGACAGGTGTGAATGTATGACAGGTGTAAACAGAATATAGGTGTATGACAGGTGTGAATGTATGACAGGTGTAAACAGAATATAGGTGTATGACAGGTGTACAGTATCTGGCAGGTGTGAATGTATGACAGGTGTGAATGATAATTGTTGATGTGACAGGTATAAATTTGAAGGGTCCAAATAAATCAGTTGATCAAGTCATCGTACTGATGGTTTAACCCTTAGAGGACGATGGTTTAACCCTTTGAGGACGATGGTTTAACCCTTTGAGGACGATGGTTTAACCCTTTGAGGACGCTAGTTTAACCCTTTGAGGACGATGGTTTAACCCTTTGAGGACGCTAGTTTAACCCTTTGAGGACGATGGTTTAACCCTTTGAGGACGCTAGTTTAACCCTTTGAGGACGATGGTTTAACCCTTTGAGGACGATGGTTTAACCCTTTGAGGACGATGGTTTAACCCAGTGGTTCTCAACCTTGTTTGCCCCATGCACCCCTTTCACCATATGTCAGAATGTCATTCCCCTCCTTTCCAAGATTGTCTGCCTCAAAAAGTGCATTCCAAATAATATGCATATAATACTGGAAATCCTTTATTTTTTCCATATTAGTATCAATTTCCCCCTGAAAACCTGGGGAAATTCTCCTGGTTTAACCCTTTGAGGACAATGGTTTAACCCTTTCTCGGCCACACTTGTTTTATCAATGTTACGGAAACTAGGTCAGTGTTCAGAGCACCCCGCCCCGCCCCGCCTCTGGTGACACGTGGCTCCCTGGGGCACGTCCACACGCCCCACTAATGACGTCATCAACACCTCCCCGCTGATTGGTTCACGACAATAACCCACAACTGTCGACCCACGGTGTTTTGGGTCCTCAACAACCAGGATTTGTAACGGAGCCTTCCACCCTCCCTGGTGCTGTGCTGGTACCCCTGCTGATGCTCTATCCTGGTAGAATGATGGCAGGGTTGGTTGGTACCACTGGTGAAAGGATGGCAGGGTTGGTTGGTATCCTGGTAGAAGGCTGGCGGTTGGTTGGTACCCTGATAGAAGGCTGGCAGGGTTGGTTGGTACCCTGGTGAAGGATGGCAGGGTTGGTTGGTTGGTTGGTACCACTGGTAGAAGGATGCGGGGTTGGTTGGTATCCTGGTAGAAGGATGGCAGGGTTGGTTGGTACCACTGGTAGAATGATGGCAGGGTTGGTTGGTATCCTGGTAGAAGGATGGCAGGGTTGGTTGGTACTTCTGGTAGAAGGAGAAGTTGGTTGGTACCCCTGATAGAAGGCTGGCAGGGTTGGTTGGTATCCCTGCTAGAAGGATGGCAGGTTTGGTTGGTATCCCTGCTAGAAGGATGGCAGGTTTGGTTGGTACTCCTGGTGGCGGGAAAGCAGGGAAGGAGGGGGGCGGCCCAACACTGCTCCAGTTAATGTTACAAACAATCCTCGGGGCGGCGGTACATCACCTCTACCCACGAAGGTAAACATATGACTGACACCACCACCCTCAACCACACCTTCATCCATCACACCACCACCCTCAACCACACCTCCTTCATCCATCACACCACCACCCTCGCACACCTCCTTCATCCATCACACACCCTCAACCACACCTCCTTCATCCATCACACCACCACCCTCAACCACACCTCCTTCATCCATCACACACCACCCTCAACCCCACCTCCTTCATCCATCACACCACCACCCTCAACCACACCTTCATCCATCACACCACCTCCCTCAACCACACCTTCATCCATCCACCACCACCCTCAACCACCTCCTTCATCCATCCACCACCACCCTCCCACACCTCCTTCATCCATCACACCACCACCCTCAACCACACCTCCTTCATCCATCACACCACCACCCTCACCCACAACTCCCTCATCCATGACACCCATCCACCAGCCTCAACCACACCCACCTCACTCATCCACCACACCACCCCAATTACCTTCTTACCTGACGACTGGACACCTGACAGAACCATCAACCTCCCTCCGTTTTTAAATAAGTAAGTACATACATGTGAGTCAATGATGGTATGAAGAAACCTGAGAGAGAGAGAGAGAGTTAAATATGTAACGCTATCTTGCCCCAGTTCTAATAGGCCCCAGTTCTAATAGGCCAGTTCTAATAGACCCCAGTTCTAATTGGCCGAGTCCTAATACAGTTCTAAAGGGCCCCAGTTCTAGAGGCCCCAGTTCTAATAGGCCCCCGGTTCTAATAGGCCCCAGTTCTGAGGCCCCAGTTCTAATAGAGCCCCAGTTCTAATAGGCCCCAGTTCTAAGAGGCCCCAGTTCTAAGAGGCCCCCAGTTCTAATAGGCCCGGTTCTAATAGGCCCCAGTTCTAATAGGCCCCAGTTTTAGGCCCCAGTTCTAATAGACCCCAGTTCTATAGGCCCCAGTTCTAATAGACCCCAGTTCTAATAGGCCCCAGTTCTAATAGGCCCCAGTTCTAGAGGCCCCAGTTCTGAACCCCGGTTCTAATAGGCCCCAGTTCTAATAGGCCCCAGTTCTAGAGGCCCCCAGTTCTAGAGGCCCCCAGTTCTAAGAGGCCCCAGTTCTAATGGGCCCCAGTTCTAATAAGGTTCTAATAGGCCCCAGTTTAGAAGGCCCCAGTTCTAATAGACCCCAGTTCTAATAGGCCCCAGTTCTAATAGACCCCAGTTCTATAGGCCCCGGTTCTAAGGCCCCAGTTCTATAGGCCCCAGTTCTGGGGCCCACTTCTAATAGACCCCGGTTCTAATAGGCCCCAGTTCTAGAGACCCCAGTTCTAAGAGGCCCCAGTTCTAAGGCCCCAGTTCTAGAGCCCCAGTTCTAAGAGACCCCAGTTCTGAGGCCCCAGTTCTAAGGGCCCCAGTTCTAGAGGCCCCAGTTCTAAGAGGCCTCAGTTCTAAGAGACCCCAGTTCTAATAGGCCCCAGTTCTAAGAGACCCCAGTTCTAAGAGACCCCAGTTCTAAGAGGCCCCAGTTCTAATAGACCCCAGTTCTAAGAGACCCCAGTTCTAAGAGGCCCCAGTTCTAAGAGGCCCCAGTTCTAAGAGACCCCAGTTCTAAGAGGCCCCAGTTCTAAGAGGCCCCAGTTCTAAGAGACCCCAGTTCTAAGAGGCCCCAGTTCTAAGAGACCCAGTTCTAAGAGGCCCCAGTTCTAAAGAGGCCCCAGTTCTAAGAGGCCCCAGTTCTAAGAGGCCCCAGTTCTAAGAGACCCCAGTTCTAAGAGGCCCCAGTTCTAAGAGACCCCAGTTCTAAGAGGCCCCAGTTCTAAGAGGCCCCAGTTCTAAGAGACCCCAGTTCTAAGAGACCCCAGTTCTAAGAGACCCCAGTTCTAAGAGGCCCCAGTTCTAAGAGCCCCAGTTCTAAGAGGCCCAGTTCTAAGAGACCCAGTTCTAAGAGGCCCCAGTTATAAGAGGCCCCAGTTCTAAGAGACCCCAGTTCTAAGAGGCCCCAGTTCTAAGAGACCCCAGTTCTAAGAGGCCCCAGTTCTAAGAGGCCCCAGTTCTAAGAGACCCCAGTTCTAAGAGGCCCCAGTTCTAAGAGACCCCAGTTCTAAGAGGCCGCAGTAGTGTGACAGGTGGGACAGCACTGTGACAACGTGATGGTGACGGCTGGGGACCTGGAGGAGGAGGAAGAGAAGGATGAGGAGAAGGATGAGGAGGAGAAGGATGGGGAGAAGGAGAAGGAAGAGAGAAGAATGAGGAGAAGGATGGGGAGGAGGATGAGGAGAGAGAATAACTGCCACAGTATAGACGAACAGAGTCAAGGAAGTCAATGTGTTCCCAGAAGTATGGACACCTGAGACTCTCCGTCATGTAAAAAAGCGCTGGGGGTCAGTCAGGGGTAGGGGGTGAGGTGTCAGTCAGGGGGTAGGGGTGAGGGTGTCAGTTAGGGGACAGAGATGATGAGGGTGTCAGTCGGGGTAGGGGGTGAGGTGTTAGTCAGGGGCGGGATAGACATCTGTTGATAAAGGTAGTACAGTAGACAGGGTAGTACAGACAGGGTAGTACAGTACAGGGTAGTACAGTAGACAGGGTAGTACAGTAGACAGGGTAGTACAGTAGACAGGGTAGTACAGTAGACAGGGCAGCAGTAGACAGGGTAGTACAGTAGACAGGGGTAGTACAGTAGACAGGTAGTACAGAAGACAGGGTAGTACAGTAGATGAGTAGTACAGTAGACAGGGGTAGTACAGTAGACAGAGTAGTACAGTAGACAGGGTAGCAGTAGGACAGGGTAGTACAGTAGACAGGGGTAGTACAGTAGACAGGGGTAGTACAGTAGACAGGGGTAGTACAGTAGACAGGGTAGTACAGTAGACAGGTAGTACAGTAGACAGGGTAGTACAGTAGACAGGGGTAGTACAGTAGACAGGGTAGTACAGTAGACAGAGAAAATACAGGGTAGTACAGTAGACAGGGGTAGTACAGTAGACAGGGTAGTACAGTAGACAGGGGTAGTACAGTAGACAGGGTAGTACAGTAGACAGGGTACTTACTGGCGACGCGTAGACTGACGGGGGGACTCGTTATAGTACCGGCTGGCGTGTTGACCAAGCAGCGGTACTCACCCTCGTCAGTCATACCCGAACGACGGTGGATCATCTGCAACAACAGGAGGTAACGGATTAACCCAACAGAAACCCCAACAGAAGCCCTCAATAACCCAACAGAAGCACTCAATAACCCAACAGAAGCACCATAACCCAACAGAAGCACTCAATAACCCAACAGAAGCACTCATTAACCCAACAGAAACCCCAACAGAAGCCCTCAATAACCCAACAGAAGCCCTCAATAACCCAACAGAAGCCCTCAATAACCCAACAGAAGCACTTAATAACCCAACAGAAGCCCTCAATAACCCAACAGAAGCACCTCAATAACCCAACAGAAGCCCCAATAACCCAACAGAAGCCCCATAACCCAACAGAGCCCTCAATAACCCAACAGAAGCACTCAATAACCCAACAGAAGTAACATAACACAGTAACACACCTGAACCACCTGTAACATCACTACTACACCTGAACCACCTGTACACCTACTCAGTACACCTGAACCACCTGTAACACTCACTAGTACACCTGAACCACCTGCAACATTCACAAGTACACCTGAACCACCTGTAACACTCACTACTACACCTGAACCACCTCTAACACTCACTAGTACACCTGAATCACCTGTAACACTCACTAGTACACCTGAACTATCTGTAACACTCACTAGTACACCTGAACCACCTGTAACACTCACTAGTACACCTGAACCACCTGTAACACTCACTACTACACCTGAACCACCCCTAACACTCACTAGTACACCTGAATCACCTGTAACACTCACTAGTACACCTGAACCACCTGTAACACTCACTAGTACACCTGAACCACCTGTAACACACTCACTAGTACACCTGAACCACCTGTAACATTCACATACACCTGAACCACCTGTAACACTCACTAGTACACCTGAACCACCCAACACTCACTACTACACCTGAACCACCTCTAACACTCACTAGTACACCTGAATCACCTGTACACTCACTCAGTACACCTGAACCACCTGTAACACTCACTAGTACACCTGAACCACCTGTAACACTCACTAGTACACCTGAACCACCGTAACACTCACTACTACACCTGAACCACCTCTAACACTCACTAGTACACCTGAATCACCCAATGTAACACCCACTAGTACACCTGAACCACCTGTAACACCCACTAGTACACCTGAACCACCTGTAACACCTACTAGTACACCTGAACCACCTGTAACATTCACAAGCAATACCGAAACCACTGTAACACTCACTAGTACACCTGAACCACCTGTAACACTCACTACTACACCTGAACCACCTCTAACACTCACTAGTACACCTGAATCACCTGTAACACTCACTAGTACACCTGAACTATCTGTAACACTCACTAGTACACCTGAACCACCTGTAACACTCACTAGTACACCTGGACCACCTGTAACACTCACCAGCACACCTGCAACACTCACTAGTACACCTGCAACACTCACTAGCACACCTGAACCACCTGTAACACTCACTAGTACATCTGAACCACCTGTAACACTCACTAGTACACCTGTAACACTCACTAGCACACCTGAACCACCTGCAACACTCACTAACACACCTCATAGACACTCCCTAACACACACACACACACACACCAACAAACGTAATTAACATAAACACTATCATACCTGTCCACCATTATGTTGACTGGTGTATAATGTTCTTTGTATTTACCATCACCAGTTTGCCTCTGAGATAAACTGTGTGTGTGTGTGTGTGTGTTGTGTGTGTGTGTGTGTGTGTGTGTGTGTGTGTGTGTGTGTGTGTGTGTGTGTGTGTGTGTGTGTGTGCGTGCGTGTGTGTGTGTGTGTGTGTGTGTGTGTGTGTGTGTGTGTGTGTGTGTGTGTGTGTGTGTGTGTGTGTGTGTTGAGTGTGCGTGTGTGTGTGTGTGATATGTATGTGTGTGTGTGTGTGTGTGTGTGTGTGTGTGTGTGGTGGTGTGTGTGGGTGTGTGGTGTGTGTGTGTGTGTGTGTGTGTGTGTGTAGGTGTGTGTGTGTGTGTGTGTGTTATAGGATTGACGAATACATATTTAGAAATTAATTGAATATTGTCGGCATGAAATGAGTTTGATATGTGACAATATAGTAATGATTATAATGGCGATGATAATGAAAAAATAAGACAATAAAGTAATAATAATAATAATAAAATAATATTAATAATAATAATAATAATAATATTAATAATATTAATAATAATAATAATAATAATAATAATAATATATAATAATAATAATAATAATAATAATAATATTAATAATAATATTAATAATAATAAAATATTAATAATAATAATAATAATAATAATAATAATATTAATAATAATAATAATAATAATAATAATAATAATAATAATAATAAAAATATTAATAATAATAATAATAATAATAATAATAATAATAATAATAATAAAATATTAATAATAATAATAATAATAAAAATATTAATAATAAAAATATTAATAATAATAATAATAATAATAATAATAATAATAATATTAATAATAATAATAATAATAATAATAATATTAATAATAATAATAATAATAATAAATATTAATAATAATAATAATAATAATAATAAACAATAATAATTAATTATTTATAGTAAGGCTGCAAAATCCCTTAGTAATTTATAGGAGTGAACAGTCTCATCCTTCTTACTCACACTACACCCTCACAACACACACTACACCCTCACAACACACACTACACCCTCACAACACACACTCACACCTCACAACACACCACACCCCTCACAACAGCCACACCACCCTCACAACACACACTACACCCTCACAACACACACTACACCCTCACAACACACACTACACCCCTCACAACACACACTACACCCTCACAACACACACTACACCCTCACAACAGCCACACTACACCTCACAACACACACTACACCTCACAACACACACTACACCCTCACAACACACTACACCTCACAACAAACACTACACCCTCACAACACACACTACACCCTCACAACACAAACTACACCTCACAACACAAACTACACCCCTCACAACACACACTACACCCTCACAACACACTATACCCTCACAACACACACTACACCCTCACAACACACACTACACCCCTCACAACACACACTACACCCTCACAACACACACACCACCCCTCACAACACACACTACACCCTCACAACACACACCACACCTCACAACACACACTACACCCCTCACAACACACACTACACCTCACAACAGCCTCACCTACACCCTCACAACACACACTACACCCTCACAACACACACTACCACCCTCACAACACACACTACACCCCACAACACACACTACACCTCACAACACACACTACACCCTCACAACAGCCTCACTACACCCCTCACAACAGCCTCACTCACACCCTCACAACACACACACCACACCCTCACAACACACACTACACCCCTCACAACAGCCACACTAACCCTCACAACACACACACCCTCACAACACACACCACACCCTCACAACACCTCTCCTCAGAGTCGATAATAAAACAACAGGGAGATTGATAACCCGAGGTGTACTAATGGCGACTATTATGCATATATTAAATCCAGGTTCCCTCATCCATCACCTCCACCACCTTCATTGCCTCCACCATGGCCTCCACCACCTCCAACCCCACCATCACCACCCACCATCATCACCACCACCATCACCACCACCACCACCACCACCACCACCACCACCATCACCACCACCACCATCACCACCACCACCACCACCATCACCACCATCACCACCACCACCATCACCACCACCACCATCACCACCACCACCACCACCACCACCACCATCACCACCACCACCATCACCACCATCACCACCACCACCACCACCATCACCACCACCACCACCACCATCACCACCACCACCACCACCATCACCACCACCACCACCACCACCATCACCACCACCACCACCACCACCACCACCATCACCACCACCACCACCACCATCACCACCACCACCACCACCACCACCACCACCACCATCACCACCATCACCACCACCACCACCACCACCACCACCACCATCACCACCACCATCACCACCACCACCATCACCACCACTCACCACCACCACCACCACCACCATCACCACCACCACCACCATCACCATCACCACCATCACCACCACCACCATCACCACCATCACCACCACCATCACCACCACCACCACCACCACCACCACCACCACCATCACCACCACCACCATCACCACCACCACCACCACCACCACCATCACCACCACCACCACCACCACCACCACCACCACCACCACCATCACCACCACCACCATCACCATCACCACCACCACCATCACCACCACCACCACCACCACCACCACCACCACCACCACCACCACCACCACCACCACACCACCACCACCATCACCACCACCACCATCACCACCACCACCACCACCACCACCACCACCATCACCACACCACCACCACCACCACCACCACACACCACCACCACCACCACCACCACCACCACCCACTCAATGTTTTATGGAAGTTGCTTTAGTTAATCAAGGCCCCCTCCAGTAAACCAGTTCAGGTTGTGTGTTTTGTGCTATAGGTATCGATGTCCTTCTCTTATGAGGAGGAGGAAGAGGAGAAGGATAGGAGGAAGAGAGGGAGCAGGGGAGGAGGGGAGGCAGGGGAGGAGGGGAAGAGTAGGAGGATAGAGGAAGACAAGGAGGGGGAATGGTTGCTCTAAGAGTCAAGACTGTCACAGGTGTTAAGTGTTAGACAGATGGCCGGGGACTCCACCTCACCTCACCTCACCTACCACACCACACCACACCACACCACACCACATCACACCACACCACATTGCAATACACTACAGTGCAGGTAGTTGATGCACCACAAAACAACTACACCACCTGGATTTAAGACTGACCACCAATGTGTACACTGTTCACTTAGGACTAACTGT